GTGTACGTGTGGACACCTGGCCCACCTCAGCACCACCCACGTGTCTGATCAAGAGCAGGTACTAAAGGATTACATCTGTAATACTATTGGGAAAATCCAATTGCCAAGGAGAAAGGTTCATGGAAGTGTCGGAGAATTTAATGTGGCAAGGATTTGTTTAGTATTTGTTATGTACTAAATTTGAAGTTTAGTTTCATTTTTTTCTCCAATTTTACATTTAAAAAAAATTAGTAAAAAAATTTTATTTGTATTAAAAGTACTATCCATGAAGTTCACATATTGAACAATTTGTTTTAATGATTCTGTGATAACGCATGATTGATAAAGAGCATATTAAGTGCACGTATTAAAATACATTTCTAAAGACTTCAACTTTTATGTGAAATCCTTAGTGCTGTAAAGGATGTACTGATGTGTTTATTGTGAAAGTATATACTTTTTTGGCATACTGAATTCAAGCATTTTATTTTAAAATTATCATTTTTGTTCTCAGATAATATGCAAAACAATATAAAACAAAACACATTGCATTTATCTGCATAATTAATTACAATGTTTTGCACATTAAGAACATGTATCTTACAAAATACACTTTCTTCATTCTATTGATTAACATCTTAGGATTACCCTTTGCAGAAGCAACAAATAATTAAATCTCACTGAATAAATTAGTACAGTTATGTTCAAAGGACAATTTACATTAATGTTCTCCTTCCAACATGCTAATTCACGCATTCTTCAGTCCATATACTTTGGCACTGGTGGTTATCTTTTTCTTTCATTTTCTTGTTCTTTACTTTTCTTTCTCTGCTATTTTATCATCCATAAAGTATTTATAACTGATATATGTAACTTCAAAACTGAATGTATGTACATCATTGTAATGTTTTTATTTCAGCGCCAAGTTATAATGAATGAGTTATAATTTTTCTATCCAATTCAAGTTATAAATTATTTTAGTCCATCATATCTCCTGCATTAGCAAATTTTGAAAGCACAAATGTAGTCATGGTTGAGTTTGGTTTTGGCCAAAAATTCAAAATTATTCTTGATGAAATAATACTTCAAAACTCAAGCAACAAAGAAGCATACACGTAACGCAATAAATCCATATAAACCCTTGTAATTAATATTATCAGATATTTATATCTTCCAAGATCTTCATGAAAAATTATGTATTGAAAAATAAAAAAGATTAAGCAATTTAAGTTACTGCAGTAATTGGTAGGGAAGCAATGGTAGAACAAACATCATTAAGGCAGCTGGTACAAAACATCCTAATCGTATCATTTCCTTTTAAGTGCTACTATCCACGTATTAGCTACCTTTTTTGAACATATACAAAACATTAACAAATTTTTCAAACTTTGAAGCTTACTAATAAAATATATCAATTTTTTGGATTTTTAATATTCATTAGACGTATTATAGTTTACCAATTTACTATCCATAGTATTAGCCTACCTTTTTGAACATTACCAAACAATTAACAAATTTTCAACTTCTGAAGCTTACTATAAAATATATCATTTTTGGAATTTTTTAAATAATTATTACAAGTATTATATTACAAAGATGCAATGATTTGTGTTTATATATTAAAATTCTTTTGCAAATGAAACATTGGAAATGTTTTGAAATAATTTTAAATAATACATTAATTATTTTTTCAATAAATTCATAATAATAATATATACATTTTTTTGAATGTCTTGCTCTTCAAATTTTGTTTCTTCAGAATCCAAATTTAGTTGCAAAATGTTATGATGCAGTTAATATTAAACGATTCTGTGAGACTGTTTTGCTCAATCAAAATATTGATAACACATTTGGTTGCACTTGCAGTTTAGCTTTATTTATTATAATTTTATTAGGGAAACAAGGTATTCTGCGTTGGATCAAGTATCCAGTAATTAGTATCAAGTATTGTTTTGAGGTAATGGGTGTTAATTTAATCTGCTAATTCGTGTAATTTAATGCAATGGAGAGTAATTGTATATAAAAACAATACAGATGTTTTCAATTCAGATTAATTTGTAGATATCGGCATTATTTTCATTCACAACAGATTATAGTATTGAAGTTTTAGAGAGCAAGTTTTTGCACATTAGTATCCAGAGCCATTTATTGACGCCTTGAGTATGTGACTATGCTTAATAAGGTGTTAGTTTTTTTAAGTGTGTAATTTGGATTGATTGATTAGTGATTCCAGTCATGTCAACTGCTTAAGGTCATTAGTCCGCATACTATAGTGCATGTTTTATCAGGCGGGAGGTGGCAGTGATCTTCCTCTATGCAGGATAAGTGAGAATTGCATGGGTTTTCCCTACAAGGTATCAGTGTGGGATCACCGCCAACGGACAAGCCTCTAAACTCCCAAAACTGTGTAGAGTAATGCATGTGAGAGTAAATCTTTTGTAAGTAAGGTTGTGAGGATAGGAACAAGAAAGAGAAAGGAAAGATTGCGTGGGCAGTCTGTGGCCCGATGGTTAAAGACTGCTCCTGGCAAATTGGGGCATTATGTTGATTGAAGCAACCCCAGAAATCTTCAATCAGAGCAGCCCCCAGAAAGAATTCTCCTCAGGCAGTTGCTGATTTCGGCCTAGCTGTTTACTACTGTTGAAAAATTGCTGCCATTGTCGACACCTAGGACCTTCTGGTCAGAGGCACTGCATGTCACATCAAGTTCATGTCCTGAGCTACTTTTTTTTTTTATTAAATTTAAATAAACTAGATCCGCTAATTATAAGAAACCTGCTTCTAAGAGACAATATGGGCTGACCCAAGTTACAGGCTAATACAAATTACAGATATTACTTTTCTGTGAAAGAGTAACCTGCCTAGATTAAACAGAATATTGGATTCAGAGGATTTTTTCTTCCCATGAGTTAAGAGTCAAAAGTTCAAAAGATTATAATTTATCAACAGCAAGCCAATAACTTAATGGTTTTACTCTCAAAAATACCCTTCACAAAGGCTGTAAAAGAGATCCCTATCTTGAATTTATATCCTCAACAAATACCCTGCTTAGACTAAAAGGTGAACAGTTTGATTACTATTTTTCCTTGTATATTTCCTTCAGTGGGAGGCATCCTAATCCCTGCTAGGTGTGTAAATCTTGCCAAGAACTCCTTCATGTTAAGTCCTGATCAGTGTGTACTCTGCTATTTTTGACATTTACCAAAGGCACATCATCTCAGTGATTTGTGTACTTTGCATTGGGCTTTTCACCATTAATACAGCTTTTGTTCATTATCCTGTTGACAGTGCACATTTGCAGGAAGCTCAAATATCTCAATATTAGATAAATTAGTACAGTAAACATGTAAGATAACTTTTGGGAATAGAATGAAATTGTATAAGAATTGGAACACTTATACAGAGTTCCTACCATATAAGTGACAAAAAATGTATATATCACGTCTCATAAAAGATATTCACCATATGAAAATTAATTATCCACATGTTTACATGCTTTTTGGACTTTATTATCTTTTCTTAATATTTTACAGATAATAGATTACAATTAATAAATTAGATTAAGTATGTTTATAGGAAATGTTTTTAAATGTTATAATTATTTAGTGATTGTAAATTAATTAATATAAGATAAATTATATTAATATTATGACATTATCAACTTTACATTATTACAACTTTTAACATTATTAGTGTAATAATAATAATAATAATACTAATAATAATAATATAATAATAATATAATATAATAATAATAATAAAATATGGACAAATATTTAATTAATAACAATATGTATTGTTAGTACGCAAAAGTGAAATTTTATCTTAATATTGCAATTAAGAAGTCATTATACAAATTTAGCTGTGTGATTTTATGATTCCAATGTTGTGTCTTTGCAAAAATTCATTGAGCCTCTGCATTACTGTTTAGTCCGCAATGGAGCTTGAGTAATTAGATTTAAACTATCTGGTCTCCATTTTATGTTATTGTTTAAACTGCTGCATTTGCTTTTAGAAAAAGCTGCCAGTGAAAATAATGATTATCTGGTACAGTAGGCTTGTACATTTAACTATATTTTTCGTGACAAGATATATGTTTGAAGAAACGTTTTGGATTATTTATCATTTTTCTTAGGTTTTTGGATATTAGAACTTTTCTTGGGTTGTTGCAGTCATTTAATGCATGTTTGAAATAATTGAATTACAATGTAATGCTCGTTTTTTAATATCTTTTATCCATTTTTTATTAAATACTTCATACAATTTTTCGCCCACAGTATATTGTCAGGAGGAGAAAGAGAATTTCTGACAAAACTTTTTTTGAGGTTTCAAAAGAACTGCTCTTTTGCTGTTTGCAATAACATTGTTCACAGATTCATGATTTAGAATTGAAAAATTTGTCTAAATGATTTACTACACCATTAATTATCTGATTTGTATTCATTATCACCAATATCCATCATGTGTAACTTATTAATTATTGTAATCATGTATTGATATTGCAAACCTGATATTTTTTTATATCCTAATTTCCTCCTCATACCAATTGTGGTAACATGATAAGTTACAGTAGGCAAAATAAATTCCTGTACTGCTAGGGAGGTTCAGATTTTTAAGCAAACAGCCATTAAGATGTACAAAGTCACAATAATTCTTGAGACAGTGTCTAATTGATCCATTTCTGGATGGATTTGTCAAAAGCTAGAATGGCGACCGAAACGTCGGCACCTTCGCCATTGACGCGGCGTCACCCGGACAGCCTAGTAAATACAGTATCTACCTTGTTCAACAGCGATTTCAAGGGACGGACAAGGGGGCTCGCTATGGCTCCCGGGAAAGCCACCTTTTTTTGTAATTTTACTCAATTTAAATAAAACAATATAATGCTCTCACCACATCCAAAGGATTAATCTAGGAATAAACATTTTTATTTTAGGCGAACAATTTTTATTTTTGAATTCTCCCCCCCCCGGGCCTGGCCGGCCGCTGCCGCGCGGAGGTTGGCGAGCGTGTGCACTCACAGTCGTAGAAGCTGGAGCGGAAGTTGGAGCAGGCGACGCCGGTGCGGCAGGGCTGCACGTGGGGCGGACGCGACGTGGGGTCGCACAGCAGGCTGGGCACGTCCCGTGCGTCTTTGCACGACACGTTGCGCGTCTGCACGCCCTCGCCGCACGACGCCGAGCACTGCGCCACACGACACACGCACTTGCTCAGCGCAGCGCAACGCACGCACGCACGCACGCACGCGCACGCAAAAACTGGGCCACTTCAAACAATCATTTATAATTATCTGACAAGTGGCTAAAAGAAATCTTTATGTTCGAGGAAGTTGATTCTTCAGAGCAGTTCAGGCTCATCTCAGAATAAATGTTACAATCTTCTCGCCCAGGTAGAGGGATCGTGATGGTCACTTTGTCCAATGAACGTGTGGTCGGAAATTTCGCGTTAGGTAATGAAAAGTCCGCATGTACGGGTGTTCGGCAGATGCAAAGAAAGTGTCTGTGGAAAAACCTGTCTTGGCGCAGGTGCATAGTACATGCGTTGCTCCTAATTGTTACGCAATTAGAAGCATATATTACACGGGTAAATTTTTAATTAGAAATTTCCGATAACATGTTTATCACGATCCGTCCACCCGCCCTAGAAGTTTGTAACATTTCTTCAGAGACACTACATAATTACTTACAAACGCATTATGGTCTTGTAGTCATGTATTACACAGTGTCCTCCATTATATCGAATATAATCATAAACCATTTAATCTACTTCTGTCACGTAAGAAAATAGCATACAAAGGCGACTGGATAAAATAAAGAACTTAATTCACATTTCTCACGTTTCGGTCACCAGAAAGAAAGTGTCATAATCTGCATTATCATCGGTTTCTAAGATATCGCATTCTGCATGTGGCCATTTGGAAACTGTCAACATTCCTATCACACTACAATCAACCAACACTGAGCATATCATCGTGTGCCTACCGAAGTTGGCAGTTGTCTAAAACGAATAAAACCTATCATGATGTAAATTATTTTGCAGCGCTGATGATAGTCGAAACGTCAACCCAACACTTAAGTTCTTTATTTTATGTGATTTAAAATCAAGAACCTGAAAATAATTTCAAGAGATCAAAAATCAATTACAAAAGCAATCAATTACAAGGCTTCTGCAGCCGGAGTAAATGAAATTTTGGCTGCTCGGGAGACGCCGTGCTCTAGCCAAGGTTGCCAACGTTTCAGTCGCATACTGTGAGCTTTTTCATAGCTAAATTGAGGACATTTAACCCCAAACAAATTCAGACGCTGAAATAGTCTTTATTTCTGGTTCAGCGCTTCAGGTGTTTTTTATGCACGAATCTTACAGTAAAACATATTCTTGAACTGTGTAATCGAAAAACAAGGATCTGTTGATCGAATTGAAGGAGGTGAAACACTGATACTTAACTCACGTCTATAATAATATAGCAGTCTTAAATAATTTGATAGTGTCAAATAAGACATAGCATTCAACTCTGTGACATATTTTCTAAAAATGTATTACCCGAAAACTGGATTTAATGATGGGAGTGAGACAGTTTTGAAAGCTAGTGAAATTTTGTAATCGTCACCTTACTATTATATTACTACAGTTTCTTAATTTCTCCCAGCTTGTTGGTTGCTATTTTCTTACATAATTTCTTGGGATCACCGGTTGCCAAATTCACAGGCTTCACGAGAGTATCTCAAAATGATATTATGGAAAGTACGAGTATTTGCAATACTTCGTAGTTTTATTTCAATTTGAAATCTGACTACAAGAATGATATTCAAGAAAGAAGAGTTACGTAAGAATATATAACACCTAAAACGCTTCGGAAGAGAAATATATAAATAATGTGGGTGAGGGTTAAAAGGTTGTAATTTTTTATTGTAAATTATCAATTATTTCTGCCTTAGAAAAATATTCATTTCATCACATTGACTGGCAATGCATAAAATATTTAGGCCAAATACGGGATGATCCTGGTTAGAGCCTGTCCGATGTCCCCATCAGTTTTAAAGACTGCAAGCGATTGTCTTGATATTTAAAAATTTGGTTTTAAAAAATATCTATAAATAGCTATTCTATAATATTTTATATAAAATATTTTGATGGACATATTAACTTGATTGTGTCAAACAATGAAGTTAGAAAGGGCCATTTCAACCAGGAGACAAGATTTTACTTCGAAATTAGAGCGCTTCATACCTGTTATCAATAATGAAATATATCATAAAATGCCATTAAACCTATTTATAGCTGAGGTGAACATTTTCGTGACTTTTATTATCTACGGAAGGGGACTCGAAACTAAAACTTTTTCCAATCAGGTCTCTTTCATGCCAGGGCCACCCGAAGTAACCGGTGAAAAATTCAGAAGCAGCAAACTCAAGGGATGTATTGGAGGAAAGGAGATGGCTGAGATGGTTGAGGGAACTGAGGTTGTCACTACAAACCTGATGGGGTGCCCAGAGAGAATAACTAAAACACATTGGGAATTTAGACAACATCCATGACCATTGCCAGCTTCCGTCGTACACAGAATTTTGAATGAGATGTATTCGGCACGTCTCGTCATTATGTGAATGCACAATTTCAACCGTTACGGAACAATAACCTATCGTCTACAGCTATGTAGGAAGCATCTCTGAGTAAGTTGCTTAAAATAATGAACCTTATCAAAAAGGAACTAGATTTCATTAAAAAAATATTGTCGAATTTGCTCTTTAATTAATAAAAGTTCGCAAATATGTATCTCCCTAAAAAATAAAAGAGTTGTATAATTATTTTTATTATAAAACAATTACGGTTTCATTCAACAGCTACAATTTTTTTAAAAATTCGTTTCAAACGGATGTGTGTGTACTCATATCTTGATTACTCAATAGTCACTGTCTGCACGCTAACACAGTTTGATATTTCTATTCAAAAGTTTGGAGGCCCTAAAGAATCTAAAGCAATACATGAATTGCCTACAGACAGGGTTCGAATTGGATCAACCTCAAAATCGCTTTATGAAGTATATCGAATTCAACTAAAATTATCTCAATGTTAGCAGAATCAGCGAGTATCAGGAAATGTGGCAAATGAACTTAGGCTATTACTACTTAAAGGATAAAGTGCTCATATATCGTCTTTCCTAGGCATTGATTTTCTTACTAAAAAGGAGCGTATAAAAATATGAAAAAACAAAGATTAGCACCCCTGGAAAATTTTGTTTAAGCACCCCAGAATATATTTATACCTGTCTGTATCGGTATACGTTTCATTCTGTAAACTTGTGAAACGCATCATGTCACTACTTTGTTTAACTGTGCTGATATCGTCCCTCATATTCCTTCAACAATTTTAACATGAATATCTTTAAATAGTTCTTCAATCAATTTGTATGATAATGTGTGGTATTTTATTAAGACATCTCTTTTCATCTATTGTCTAAAGAAGTGCGAAAAGTTCTACTATTCTTGCCGAACTTCAATCTGAAATGCGACGAAATGTGTAGATTGTCATGTATTAACGAAAAATAACTACATTCGATCCAAGCATGCGCTTTATGAACGAAATGAAAAGCAAATGGCTTCAGGATAACATATTTTTGAAAGTGTGTAAAATTCAGACTTCTTTTTCTTGGTTCCGCGCATGGTAAACCAATTTCCAGAACCCAATGGAGAATTATGATTCTCTGTTCACTCGAACCTGAAAATATTGAGTAACCTTGATGATAGGAACCGGGTTCTCCTCCACGTGATGTGAATGTCACGAACCTTGTTTTATTTTGGTAATGTTTGGAGAGGGAGTGAAACAGAAGGGACAATGTTTATTTGGACGTCCCATTTGAGAGTGCAGAAAATCAGCGAGTGCGCGAACTCACTGAAATTGCTAGGAAGAGTTTATCGTTAATATCGTTTGGATTTGTAGTTCATGTCCATTTCATTTTCTGCCCAGTCAAGTGTGACGTTCCATCTGTTATTTTAGCTTTTCGGAATTACTTTAGTTCGAGGAGAAGGTGCTATATCTGTCCTGTTGTGCCAGGTCATCAACAAAACCCAAAATGATTTTAAAAATATCGTCTATTTTCTAAAATACTCTCATACATATAAATAATTATATATTCTTTCCAAAACGCAAGTTAACAACTGTGATTGGAAGCAACATGTGATTAGACCGCAAAAAATACATACAATTTATTTCTTAAGAATACAAAAGCAGAAAGCGTAAATATTTTATAAAATGTGTGATATAGTATTACTAATATGGTACCTCTTGGTACTATGATTGGTATGTCACTTATCATTTATTTTTTAGGACTGTATTCTATTGTTTTCTTAAAAAACTTGGCTCATTACATAAATATTGTTGTATTTACCACAAGGCAGATAGCAACGATTAGAATATACAATTTTTGTTCCACAAACGCGGACAAATTGACAAATTACTACGTGAAGGGTATTTTTATATTATGTAAGAGGCACCTTCTGATAATTGCACCTTTATAAATAGCACCATACAGGTTTTTTCGAAATAAAAGCAAAAGCAGTCTTTTTAGGGTGTCGTGCACCGTGAGATTGTTATCTATGAATACAAGATAATTTTAATTTTCTATGTGTGTGCATGTTTGCTGGCAAATTTTAATACATAATTAATTTATATTGTACATTACTATCTACTTTCCGATGTAGAACCTACTATTTTTTTTATAAAACCTATGGTACTACGTATGAAATACTACTAATACATGCAATAACAACGTGAATCTGATTAACAAAATGAACAATTTCTGTATCTATTTCAATTTCTGATATACACTTTAGAGTGCTCTGTGATATGATTCTACAGAACAGTGAGGCTTAAAAGCCAACATATTTTTAATACTGTCACCAGTACTTCTCTACAAAATACTGCCCGATTCTCATATTGGCACTATATTTCATTATTTACTTGCAATGTATTTATATTAATTGTTTCTAGGCATAGTTTATGAACAACTAGGAATTTGACTGCCGACTCATTCGTGAACCAGGCTGTTCCAACTCGGCCTCTCGCGGGCAAGGGCGCCCGCTCGCAGTCGTGACTAGCCCAGGAGGAGGATGTGGAGGGGTGGGCTCTTATGGAAGCAATATGAGTAGTACGATGGCTGGCCACAACCCCTTGCACTGTCGCACCGGATACCATGCCATCGCCGAAGCAGATGAAGATAATAGATTGACAGAAGTACCTTCTTCTAAAGGACAGATATTTTAATACCCTTAATTTGTCACGATGGTCAGAATTTATATGTGAAAGTCGACAAAAACAAATAATTCAACTTCAGGGCAAGGCATTGAAGAGCGTCCTATGCATCGCCACAGCCCAAGGAATCATCCCACACGTTAAGAAAGATATGTCAAAAATTAATTTCATAGAATATTGTTGTTGAATGGAATCGACTTTTCCGTTTCCAGTTAAAGTTTAAGATTTCTTTCTGAGAATGAGCCCCGGTGTGCCCTCTGCCCCCTTAACCTAACCGCTCCCTGCTTCGGCCATCGTCTTGGACGAATTGTCGCCCAAGGCCCAGGCCAGCTCGCGCCCCGAGGGCATCTGGTATTTCGCCAGGCGCCGGTGGCCCGTGTCGTCAGCAGTCTGTGTCGCGGTGGCTCGCGGGTGCTCGCGTGCCCGCCCGCGAGCAGCAGAGTTGGAACAGCCTGTCGTAAACCTCACGAAAAATCAAGAAATCAAGAAATCAATTAAGAAATGAAACTATAATTTACCTGACAAAATTAGAAATAGGCTGTTGCACTTTGGCGAAGAAATATTTCGTAATTTATTGAGTAGATATGATTTAGAAAAATAATACGTTCGAAAATTTTGAGTCTATAAAACGTTTCTTTTCTCTTCCATTAACAAATTTTGGAAGAAAACATCTGTCTTATGTAGAAAGTGTTGCCATTATCACGTAACAAGATTATGTTTCACTTCACATCGTAATGTGTACATGATATTCACGGATATTCGAATTTTGTTCAGTAAAATTGGCTGAAAATGTCATACTGAATACAATGTTTAAGTTTTTAAATTCTGAATACGTGTGTTATGAATACAAGAGAAATTGTGCTGGCTATGCTTCTGTTCAGTGTTATAAACTACTAATGATACAGAAATAAAGGGATATATGTTAAATACTCGTACTGACAGTTTGGAATATTATTATAATTTCCTTTGTATTTTCGCAAGAGTATTTAAAGATAGTTTTTCCCATATTTAATTAAAAACATCTACGTTTTACATTTTAGTGCATAAAACGAAATTTTTAGAAGTAAAATAATGGATTTTTGTTGAGTTATGGATATCAAATTCACAAACTAGAACTTTTGACAATGGTAAATAATTTCAAAAAATAAAAGTTGTTCCAAGTTGAATACGAACAATCAGGAAACAGGGAAGAAAATTAAGAGTGGAAATGACAGAATAGAACATCAAAAAACACAAACATGAACTACGGTGGATATGAGCCAAATCAGATGAGGGAGGGTTATCATTGAATGATTATGAAAGTTGGTGAAAGGATCTGTTGCAGAAGTGATCTGAGAAATAGTAGATTTGAATAAGTTTCTAGAAAATGAAACAAATGTAGATATGTTTTGACTAATCGAAATGGTTGTTTACAGATGAATTAAGAAAGAAAATAGGCTGAAAAAGTCCAAAAGATCGTAAAAAGTCCGCAAATTGTCAAAGGGACGATGACCGTTACTAGTATAATTGAGTACGGATTGAATGAAAGGTTACAAATTCATTTTGTAACCCAGAAAGTAAGATAAAAGATCACAAGTTGTTTTGAATATATGTTCGAATTAAAAAACGAAACAGATGTTCTGAGTTGAATCGTGAATTTCGTACGTCTGTACACTGATAACATCTTGCATTGAAATGGAGGGATCATTTGATATAAAGAATGCTTGCGTGGTTGGATGGAAGGAGATCTGCTTTGATGGAGGCTTAGTGAATATGAATGCTAAGAGTTGACGTTGGAAAGCGAACAGACTGTGAGAAAGAAATGGAAGAGATTCGGTGACGAGGGAAGAAAAGGTAGGAGGGTGCGAAGGAGACGTCATGGGATCAAGAGTAGACGTGGGGAGGACACGGACTCGAAAGTAAACGGAGACGGTGGCGTAGGCGGGGACAGGGTCGGAAAGGATCGTGGTCAGGGATGTGGATGAGGACAAGGACTGGTCGTGGATAGGATCGAGGACGGTGTCGTGCTCTGAGATGTGGTCGGAGATGAGGACGTGTACATGACGTGGATATGGCCACGGGCGTGGACATGAATGTGGACGTGATTATAGCCGTGAACGTGGACATGAGCGTGTATAGGGGCGTGAACATGGATGTGTACATGGACTTGATTATGGATGTGCACATGACGTGGATATGAACACCGGTGTGGGCATGGACGTGAATATGACCGTGAACGTGGACATGAATATGAACGTGGGCGTGGCCATGGATGTGCGCATGGCCGCGAACGAAGCGCCGCCCTACGCGCGCGTGGGGCGTAGCGCCAGCCGGGTGGCTGCGGCGGCGGCGGCGGCGGCGGCGAGCGGGAGCGCGGGCGCGGGCGCGGGCGCGGCCTGGGCGAAGGCGCGGGAACCCACCCCGGACCACTCGCCGGCGTTCCACGTGGGGCAGTCCATCGGGTTGCACGGCTCCTGGTAGTGCGGCCGGTGGCCGTGGCACAGCTGGTCCGCCACCTGCAAGCACACGCACGCGGGTCAGCTGCGCTCAGGCACAGCGGGCGATCGCCTGCTTCCGAGCTGCTCTGCAACACTGGTGGCCAAGCAAGCATTCAAGAAATTCAAAATATTTTCAGAAGAATTATTTTCAGAGGATTACTCCGAAAGCGCAAAGCCCTCAACGTCCCCGGGGACAGGAGACGCATTGCGTCAATTGAAGACGAAAAAAACAACATCAAAAACACCAGATCCAGACGCAGCGGAAGAACAAAGGTTAGGAGGTTATAAAAGAAAATGACTGTACTGCTTTGCGCCAAAAAATAGTAGACAAATCGAGAATTAAATTACTTTTCCTATTTCACATAAACTATACATACACACTTAGATTACTTTTATTGAGTATTTTTTTATTCTTTTCGTATACTGCATTCTTGATACTGCACGTGCGTCACAGACTCTGAGTGCTCCGCCACTGCATCTCTCCCCACGGCCACTTCTGCGCGCCCGCCCCACTGATCTCTCGAGAGCATCTCCTTCCGACGCAAAGCTAATTCTGAAATCGCGTGCGCTCTCCAAATGGCTCGCTGGCGAGCGCATCCAGATGCGAGAAGTGCGGCCTACAGCAGTCGCCGAGAGAGCACCGCGCTGCGATGAAAAGGCCAAACGGACAGACGAGGGGGGCGGTGATGGAGAAACGGGCATGGGAAGAGCACGGAATAAAGTAGTGGGGATACGAGCAGCAAGGGGCAGAGGGGAAGGGATTGAAGGCGATTGGGGGAGGCGGGATTGGGAGGACGGTGTTGAGGAGGGGGTCGGGAGGGGGAATAGAGAAAACTGGGATTTTAAGAGGTGGGCTGCAGATGAGAGGAGAAAGGTATAGAACAACAGTTCCAAAAGGCAATAAGAGAAGAAAGGAGGCGCTCCTGAGGTGTAAGCAGAGAGACGGAGGCGCAGAATCTGGTTACGCGCGGCAGCAGGGTCGGGGGAAGAGCGCGCAGTTGAAGATGCTGGGAGAGCGTGGCTGCAGCGCGGGGTGCGTGACTCGGACAAGGTAGCGGCGGGGGAGGAGATAAGCGTCGCGTGACGACGATGGATGGGGCGGCTGAGCAGCGGGCGGCGGGGGCGGGGCGGGGCGCGGCCGCTGACAAATGAGCGCGTGGATGCACCGCAGCAGAGATAGATGGAGGAAGGAATCGAAGGAGGAGGGAGAGATTGAGATACGCGCCGCAGAACGGAGCGGGAGCAATGCGCTGGGAGGAAGGTGCGCCTCCGCAAGAGCCGTCGCCGACAAGTCGCGCCCTCGCACACGCGACTCCGTGCAGCGCCTCGGGCCAGCCTCCTTCGGCAGGGCAGCTCTGCGCCCCGAGAGACATCGACACGCACACCTCCTCTAATAACACATATAAGGTTTTCCCTGTACTTGTCTTCTGTATTAATTCAATGTAATTATTTTAAAATATAAAAGTAAATAAGGATAATTTATTTTACAGTTCTATTCTGTGTACTAGATTTTTCTATTCTGTTTACTATATTTTTTTCCCTGTATTTTCTTCTTGTTAGGTTATGAAGCCTTCCAAGGTCTTGGATACAATAGATTATTCTTTTTATTTTCGAATATTAAATGTCCTCTTTCATGCCCGGGCAATTGCCTAGTCTGCCTCTCATAGCTATAGGAAACGGGCATATCTCATTCTCATCTAACGGACTCTAAGTAAGGTTTAAGTATGGGATCCCCTAATAATACAGAACTATTGAACGTAATCAATACAAATTAATATTAATGATAAACTATAACCTTTGCATTTATCTAAATAATTTGAAAAATTTCCCCCTATATATGAACTAGTATTAAGTGTAAAAGTTATTGGGACTCTTTCCAGTTCGGTCGCTATGCAGATGCTTCATTTTCTTGTGTTCGTCCATGCCTGTTTGCGGTCCTTTGCAAACGGCCTTTACCAGATAATTTCAAGGCCCAGTGGATGTAGGTTCATGTACGGTGCACGTCTGCTAGACCGAAATAATTAATTTCTTCGTGATTCGCTACTCTTCGTTGTGAAGGCCACGATGATTCACTGCTCAAAACGCTTCACCTGCAGCTGACGCGGCGGAGGCGGTGGAGATGGAGGCGGTGGTGGTGGAGGCGGTGGAAGTGGTGGTGGTGGTGGAGGCGGCGAGGGCGAGGGCCGTAAAGCAATGCCGCCAGCGCCTCTCGTCCAGCGTTCGCTCTGTTACGGCCCCCGTAATGTGAACACAAGAAGCGCACGGCGCCGCGCCGCAGAGGCTTATGAATTCATAGCCGACGCCCCCCTCCCCCCTCCACGCCACGCACGCGGCGCTGAAGTGAGGCGCCGTCTACACCGTTATATTGTGTCATATTTTAAAAAGGAACTTAACCCTAATAAATGAATATAGGAGGCAAACCTCTATTGTAAAAAAAAAAAAAACTGTTTATTACTAATTTCCTACACACGCAGGAATTTGAAAGAAAACTACACAGCTTCCGACCTTTTGAGAGGAGTCTATGGTTTAGTTAGTAGCCGAGGAACTCGGTAAAAATCCAAAATACTATGAAACAGTTTCGATTTTGACTAAAAAATTCAAATAATTGTATTGTATTCGCTTATTCTCATACTGCGCGAGCGACTGACCTCTCATAATCAGTGCATTACTGCTCACTAAACATCTAATGATACGTGACAGCAAGGCTCCATGAAAAGGTTGCTCGCCCCTACATATGCGCAATTAAGGAATTGCTTTACATAAGAGCTACACAGCTGTTTTTATATTCTAGATTCGTAAGGAACGGTTGAAGTCTATCAATATAGGGGATTATGCTAATGTATTCGTGAAATACGATTACAATTAACGGGTTTTGTTAAAAAGTTTAATTTGTTGCAGTGTTTTACGAGAGTATTTTATTGATTGTTCTTGAGTAGTGTGCGCGTTATGTTTTGAAAAACAATATTGAGTGATTTCGTTCCGCAGCATTATTGCTGCTACAAGCCACTAGTTTGATAATAAATATAAGACAAGTACATAAAATCGAAACACTATTTGGCGCACTTCGTATCGAATCACCGTTTTCAACTCAGATCATCGAAATAGTGATCTGTTTCGACTTCTTTCGTCCCCATAACGTTCCTTTAATCTCGTCTGTGCTATTTTCAAAGATTATAGTACTGCGAAAGCATCCCTTAACGCCTAGAATATTGCGTTGTAAGTTCGTCCATTATTTCTTCATTTATTCACCTTATTTGTTAAAGAGTAAATAGCTACGTCTCTCAAATATCTCATCTCTTCTGCACCAATTTTACTTACCTAGTATTAGGTAAGTATTCAAGAGATAGGAATCAGAATTGGTAGCACCATAATAATAATAATAATAATAATAATAATAATAATATAATGATAATCCTTAACTAGTAAGATTTTTGCTCTTATGAAAGCGTATGCTTTAAATTGCCATTGGCTTGGATTTTACGAGTATGTTGCCATTTTCCTGCTGATACTTGAAAAAATTAATATAATTATCTTTTGATACCCTCTAGGTTTTCAATAATTATAATTTCGTAATAGGCCAATATTATTATGTCTGTGCTCTCAGTAAAAAAGCTCTAAAAAATTAAGTAACTCATTTTCAGCTTCGCCAATAAAAAGGCTTGGTGACGGAGATTAGTCTTGCATCTCATCTTAATAGATCTCCTTCATCATTTCTGATCCATATTATTTCTTGTTTTTTTGTATTTGAAGAGACTTGACATAGCTTGTATGACATGCTATAAAATATCTATTTTTCACAATTTCTCAGAAGAGTTTTTTTTTAGATACTCAGCACACAGTACGAGTTTTATTCAAAATATTACGAGTTATGCACGTTATGATTTCAAATTTATGAATTTCGCGTCAAAATTAAATTTAATCAATAAAATTGAGGTTTACTAAGACAAAAGTTTATTATACACGGAAAATCTGCAGGGAGGCTGCTGGTATTATTACCTGTAGGGATGTTAACATAGGGGAAACGAAAATTACTGTAAAAGTGCAAATATAAATGATAAAAAAGAAAGTAAAAGGTTGTGTGTGCAAATATCTACATTCAAGTGAGTTCCCGCCACGCCACACGGAAATCCACTGAAAATAACTGATTTCTCCGTGTATTTTCTCCATTCAGCTCGCATCACATTTCAATTCTTGCACTTCACTATTGATATTGAATAATCTGTTCCTATTACATTAAGAGGGAAAAGGTAAACCATCTTTTCAGATTTAACACTTTTCTGAGTTCTTTCGTTTGAATCTATACATTGAAATTATTTCTGATTTAGTGCTACTGGTACAATTATTACTCTAGCCATATTTGTTTCCAATAGTTTTTGGAAACTTATATT